CGCCTAACAACTGTGGGAAGTAAGATCGTAAAATGGAGCAAAACTCACTTAACAAATGTCTCAAATTTGTCAAGTTTGGGTTCAAGGGTGGTCGTAAATGGCTGGCCCCCGAGTGGGGTGGGAATGGAGATTTTGCAGTATCCTTCCCCCAGGAGTGGGGAAGGAATGGGGATTTTGCAATTTCCTTTCCCAAGCCACACACCCCCAAGCCACTCCCACCTTCCTGCCCCCCCCACCCTTTGTTAATGGGCCAGAGGCAGAAACCCAATCCTTTGTCAAAGGACCATCATCTGCAATACAATAGAACCCATCTAGCAACAGAAACTCACCCCACGGCACCTGGGAAGATTACATCAGCCAGCAAGGCTAGCTAAGACCCCACCCTCACCCCCTGGAAGTCTGTCAACCAACCAGGATACTCTTTCTGGGCCCCAGGAAGTTCAAAGCCAGAGAGGGCATAAAACCCGGGGACTTGCTGTATCTCGCCCCTTTTCTGTTCAGGAACTCCAACCATGTGATCCTGTCCACCATTAAACCATCTTTCCAAGCAGTCTCCGTGTTTCCAGTGTCTTTTTCCCCACTTGGAGCTGAACCCAGAAGGATATTTCTTCCTACACATGCATGCATCAAATTGCACTGCTAAATTTCAGGAAATGAAATTGCATGAAATTAGCAGGGCAGAAAAAGTCCCAGATGATTGCTCATTCCAGCTTCAGCAGCACTCAACGAGGACAGATGATAGCTTGGGCAAGGAACACTGGGCACAGTATACAGCTAGAAGAATGGGAAAGAGCATGGGACAACAATTACAGTATGACAAAATCAATAGCATATAAGGAGAATCATTATAAAATGTGGCACAGGTGGTATCTAGCTCCTTCGAGGTTAGCGAAAATGTATCCGAATGTAAATTCGGCTTGTTGGAAATGTAAACAAGCTCAGGGTACTTTCTTCCATTCATGGTGGCTTTGCCCAGAAATCAAGAAATATTGCAGGAAAATAAAAACATGGATAGTAGAAATAAACAGATCAAGAAATTGAATTAGAACCAGAAATCTTCTTATTAGGCATGATCAAAAGGAACATTAGACAGGACATAAAATACTTAAAATTACACATAATTACGGCGGCAAGATTGGTACTAGCACAATTATGGAAAACAGATCGTTTGCCAACAGACCAGGAGATAATTCAAAAAATTTACGCATGTGCAGGAATGGATAAATTAACCTTAAAATTAAAAGACAAGGAAGACTCAAATATTTTGAAGTATGGAATAGATGGTATAAGTGGATAAATCAAAAGAAAAAAGGGTAAAGACTAAATTTAGGAAAAATCAAGGTAACAAATAAGCACCGTAAGGTAGATAGAATAAGAAATAAATCACTGTTTATATATGTATATGTATATGTTTATATATGTATAAATATAAATATATAAATATAAATATAAATATATATATATATATATATCAATTTTAATTAGCAATTTTATGATGTTTGTGTGTCTATATTTTTCTTGACTGTACACCGCCTTGAGTCCTATGGGAGAAAGGCGGTATAGAAATATAATAAATAAATAAATAAATAAATAAATAAATAAATAAATAAATAAATATACCGCCTTTCTCCCGTAGGACTCAAGGCGGTATAGAAATATAATAAATAAATAAATAAATAAATAAATGTACATAGGTACATATATTTAGCTTGTCGGTGGGCTTGTGTATTGTATATGCAATCTTACGATTGAGAAAAATTTGTATAATTTTGTATTTTTAAATTTTTAAATTCAATAGTTTGTTTTTTAAAATAAAAATAAATAAATAAATAAAAAATAAACCATCTTTCCAAGCAGTCTCCATGTTTCCAGTGTCTTTTTCCCCACTTGGAGCCGAACCCAGAAGGATATTTCTTCCTACACATGCATGCATCAAATTGCACTGCTAAATTTCAGGGGCCCCAATTTAAAGAAATGAAATTGGGGGTGCATGAAATTAGCAGGGCAGAAAAAGGCCCCAGATTATTTGCTCAGTCCCAGCTTCAGCAGCACTCAAGAGTGCTAAAAAAAAAAAGAGAAAAAGTCAGAAAAATAACCTATATTGAAAAATACATATATTTCTAACCCACCGGCTGCAATTGCATAAGGTTAACCTAACCTAGTTTGTGAATAAACCCGGTTTTCTAGCAGGAAACAAAAGAACCTGCTCACTTACCACCATTCCTGAGTTCCCAGCTCCCCCTGGTGGATAGGCGCGGTCATTGCCGGCAATACAACTCCGCCCCGCCCCCTTATAAGAAAGATGATTTCTTATTGGTTGCCTGTGCCCACCCCAAGTCTTGGATTGGACGAAGCGCTTTTCAGTATCCGGAAGGAGGCAAGATGGAGGCTGTAAGACCGGTGGGGGAGGGGGGGGAGTGTTTTTTCTGGGTGGGGGAGGGTTTGGCTGCGTTTGCAGGTGTCTTTAACTGAAGGGGGGAGGGGGAGCATTATAAATAATAATAATTTTATTTCTAAATTAACACCCCCCTGCAAGAATTATTAAGGGTAGAGCAGTAGGATCCTTTGAAAAATTGGCTTGTTATCATTATTCCCATAGGGTGGACTCCCAGCCCCATCCTCCACAGCCAGCAGAGGAGAGTGGGGACTTGACAAAGTCTGCCAAAAACCTCATTTTTGGCATTTATTCTTAATGTGGAAATGCTTTTTTTTTTTTGGACAGTCCAGGACTTTATTTAAAAAAAAAAAACTCCTTTAGGCTTTCCTTGTGGTGCCCCATCCAAGTCACAAATCAGCATTTGGCTCTGCTGCAGAGAGCTTTGGAGCCAGCTAAGGGTTGATTTGATGGCTCAACGGGTTGAGTTCAAACGGCGCCCGTTCTGCAGATGGATTTTGCATGGCGGGGGGTTTATATTTATAGCAATCGCTACCTCTCTTCCCCAGCCCACCTCTCCCTCTCCAGAAGCGCCAAGAGGGGCTTGTCCTCTGTTTCGAGGGTTACTTTTGAGATGTCTTCCCTTCCCCTGGAAAAAAACGGCCATCCCTCTCTTTAGAACAGAATAGAAAATAATAGAATAGAATAACAGTTGATAATAACAACGGAAACAGAGTTGGAAGGGCCCTTGGAGGTCATCTAGTCCAACCCGCTGCTCACGCAGGAGACCTGTACTAGGGATCCGAACCGCCGAACTGCTGACCTTTCTGATCGGACAAGCTCAGTGTCTTGGCCACTGAGCCACCTAGTAGAATGGAATTAGAATTCGAATTATTAGAATTAGAATTAGAAGAGAAGAGTTGGAAGGGACCTTGGAGGTCTTCTAGTCCAACCCCCTGCTTAGGCAAGAAGCCCTATACAATTCCAGACAAATGGTTGTCCAATCTCTTCTTAAAATGGAATGGAAATAGAATTGGAATTGGGATTGGGATTGGAATTGGAATGGAATGGAATAATACAATGGGAATAGAACAGAACAGAATGGAACAGAACAATTATTGGAATGAATGGAATGGAATGGAATGGAATATTAGAATGAAGAATAGAATAGAATAGAATAGAATAGAATAGAATAGAAAAGAATAGAACAGAACAGAACAGAACAGAACAGAACAGAACAGAACAATTATTGGAATGAATGGAATGGAATAAATATTGGAATGAAGAATAGAATGGAATAGAATAGAATAGAATAAATATTGGAATGAATAGAATAGAATAAATATTGGAATGAATAGAATAGAATAGAATAGAATAGAATAGAATAGAATAGAATAGAATAGAATAGAATAAATATTGGAATAAAGAATAGAATAGAATAGAAAAGAGTAGAGTAGAACAACAGAACAGATGTTGGAATGAATAGGAATGGAGTAGAGTAGAGTAGAGTCGAACAGAACAGAACGAATATTGGAATGAATGGAATGGAATGGAATAGAATAGAATAGAATAGAGCTAGAAGGGACCTTGGAGGTCTTCTAGTCCAACCCCTTGCTGTTTCTAAAAGGTGTGTTGTGGTTTGTTTGTTTCTTTTGACTTGAGGTAAGGGATTGCATAAATTTAGCCAAATAATACGGTTTGTAGACCCATGTGTGAACTGACCCAATTGTAATGTGTTTCATGATTATACGGTGAAGCAAATTATGGCTTTGTAAACCTTGTCGGAACCAGATTTAAAGATACATATTGTTTTGTCATTGGGTGTGTTGTTGCAAAATTAACTAAGAAGGCCTGTAAACCGCAGTTTTAAGGTTAACCGTATTGTGTGAGCACAGCCAACTGTAGCGTGTTCGATAAACCATGTCATAACGTGTGAATGCAGTCAGAAATTGTCTGTTCTCCCCCACAGACACAGTTCCTTAAACCGAAATCAACAATTATACAACTGATGGATTCTTCTTTTGTTTAATTCGGTGCCCTGGATTTCTATAGCAACTGTAGCACAAATTTTTTTTTTACTTATCGTATTTTATCCTGCCTTTGCTCTGAAGTGCTTCAGAAGATACCACGAGGGCCGTTTCCCAATTTCAAATGGGAGGCTTAGAGATAGTAACTGATCCAATTTTTCTTTGTTCAACCCAGCCTGACTAGCTGTTGCAACCGCAAGTTACAAGTATTAAAACTGGCCTTGACAATCCGCACCTTTGTGGGCAGCATTATGCAGTTGTGTTTTACTATTTTGTCAAGACTTGGCATAGCCTTTCATCCTGATCAAGGAGAGATTCAACCTGGAAATAAGGAGGAATTTTCTGACAGTGAAAACAATCAACCCATGGAACAGAAGTTGCCTTCGGAAGTTGTAGGAGCTTCATCACTGGAAGCTTTCAAGAAGAAAGGTAGAGCCTTGGTAGTACAGTGGTTTAAAGCACCCTGTTATTAACACAGCTGCCTGCAATTACTGCAGGTTCGAATCTTACCAGGCTCAAGCTTGACTCAGCCTTCCATCCTTTCTAAGGTAGGTTAAATGAGAACCCATTTTGTGGGGGCAATAAGCTGACTTTGTATAAATATACAAAAGTATGAAGGCTATTGCTTAACGCATTGTAAGCCACCCTGAGTCTCCGGAGAAGGGCGGCATATAAATCAAATTAAAAAAAAAAAGAGAGAGAGACTGGACTGCCATCGGTCAAAAATGGTGTAGGGTTTCCTGTTTGGGCAGGTGGTTGGACTAGAACAGGGGTCCCCAACCTTTCGGACCTCAGGGACCACTAAATTCATAATTTTAAATCCCGCGGACCACTAATACGATCTGCCTAATGACCGGATGGGTAGGCGTGGCTAGGTGGTCATGTGACTGGGTGGGCGTGGACAACTCGATGTCACTCAAGTCGAGGGGTGCCTTGCCGGCTTCTACTCACCCCTCCCCTCCTACCACTCCTCGCCTCCCCATCTGGGCTCCTTAGGGCCCCAACAGGAAGCAGTTGTTGGCGCTAAGCAGCCACTACGAGAAAGAGTTGGCATAACAGCCCAGTTCAAATTGGATCTGACCGAAAAGGAGGCTCAGCAGAAGCACCTCACTGAGGACTAGGAGCATAGACTTTCCAAGCAGAGGGAAGAGTGCAAGGCCAGGTACCGGCGCCTGGAGGCTCAGCGGGCTGAGATGGTCAGCCAGTTCCAGGACATGATGCAGTCCCACTGGAACGAGGCCATCCGGCTCTTCCCCACCAGCGGCACTTCCCTCCAGCCTTCGCCCAAAGCCCCTCAACCAGGAGGCCGAAGCGGACCCCGAATCGGAATTTCTGACCCACACAAAAAGACCCCAAAGGGGGAGACTCTCTGCAGCAACACAAACATTCATTGCACCTATCCGTCCCAGGGCCCGTAGTTTGAGGACCCCTGATTTAGTGCAATATAAAAAAAAAATGCAAATAATTTTTCTGCAGACCACCAAAACTTTCTCGCCGACCATCAGTGGTCCATGGACCACCAGTTGGTTGACAGCTGACCTACATGATCCCTTCCAACTCTGTTAATCTGTATTCCAACTAACGGGCATCTCTTTCTTTTCGTGGCCACATGATATTGCAGCAATTTCCCTCCTTAGCTGGTGCTGATTTACTCTGCGTTGTGTTTCGGTGTCTCCGATTTAAACCGCTGAGTCACATTAGTAGTTGTCGTAAATAGTTGAGCGTTGAACTTCACCTTGATTGCTGTAAAATGTGCTAAAAGTTTCCTTTTTTTTTTTTTATTATGGGAGGCGGCTGCAGAATATAAAGCGGCAGATACCTGGTGAGTTTAATGGCTACTACACTGAGATGCTTACGGATGATACACACGGAAGGTGTTAATTTTTAGGAGCCTTAGAACGGTTGCTGGTAAGTCACGTCTCCCCACTTCAATAAAGCATCCACTCCTAAAAAGACAGAACGGAGGAGCTATAATTAAATGGAGGCAGGGGGCCTGATGCGAGTATGCTGACAGGTAGCAAAAACCCACTTCCGTCTCTCCTAAATAGCTGAAAATGGGCATCAGCCACGGTTGGGTAAAACAAATTTAGTCCGTTCTTTGAAGCTTTAAATTGGGGGCCTCTGTAATTTTTCAGCGTCTCATTGGTGACCCCAATTTGAGCTTATTTCACGGCGATAACAATGGGGTTATTATTTCTTCCTTGCGGAAGGCAAAAATCATGGGGGTTTGTGTGTGATTGAGTGGGATAGCAGTGGGCGTGGGGAGAGAGGGAGAGAGATTGAGAGGAAGACAGATTGGGAGGAAAAAGAGAGGGAAAGAGAGAGAAAGAGAAGAGAAAGAGGAAAAGAGATTGAGAGGAAAAGAGAAGGAGAGATTCAGAGGAAGAAAGAGAAGGAGAGAGATTGAGAGGAAAAGAGAGAAGGAGAGAGATTGAGAGGAAGAGAGAGAGATTGAGAGGAAAGAGAGAAGGAGAGATTGAGAGGAAAAGAGAGAAGGAGAGATTGAGAGGAAGAGATTGAGAGGAAGAGAGGAAGAGATTGAGAGGAAGAAAGGAGATTGAGAGGAAAAGAGAAGGAGAGATTGAGAGGAAGAAAGAGAAGGAGAGAGATTGAGAGGAAAAAAGATTGAGAGGAAGAAAGAAGGAGAGAGATTGAGAGGAAAAAGGAGAGAGATTGAGAGGAAGAAAGATTGAGAGGAAAAAAGAGAGAAGGAGACATTGAGAGGAAGAAAGAGAAGGCGAGAGATTGAGAGGAAAGAGAGAGGAGAGAGATTGAGAGGAAAGAGAAGGAGAGATTGAGAGGAAGAAAGAGAAGGAGAGATTGAGAGGAAAGAGAGAAGGAGAGGAAAAAGGAGAGATTGAGAGGAAGAAAGAGAAGGAGAGAGATTGAGAGGAAAAAGAGAAGGAAAGATTGAGAGGAAAAAGGAGAGAGATTGAGAGGAAAGAGAGAGAGAAGGAGAGGAAAAAGGAGAGATTGAGAGGAAGAAAGAGAAGGAGAGATTGAGAGGAAAAGAGAAGGAGAGAGATTGAGAGGAAGAGAGAGAGGAGAGAGATTGAGAGGAAAAAGAGAGATTGAGAGGAAAAAGAGATTGAGAGGAAAAGAGAAGGAGAGAGATTGAGGAAAAGAGAAGGAGAGAGATTGAGAGGAAAAGAGAGAAGGAGAGACATTGAGAGGAAGAGAGATTGAGGAAAGAGAGAGAGAGATTGAGAGGAAGAAAGACGAGAGATTGAGAGGAAAAGAGAGAGAGAAGGAGAGACATTGAGAGGAAGAGAGAGACTGAGAGGAAAGAGAGAGAGAGATTGAGAGGAAAGAGAGAAGGAGAAATTGAGAGGAAGAAAGAGAAGGAGAGATTGAGAGGAGAAAAGAGAGAGAAGGAGAGAGATTGAGAGGAAGAGAGAGAGAAGGAGAGAGATTGAGAGGGAGGGAGAGAGAAGGAGAGAGATTGAGAGGAAAAGAGAGAGAGAAGGAGAGAGATTGAGAGGAAGAGAGAGAGAAGGAGAGAGATTGAGAGGGAGGGAGAGAGAAGGAGAGAGATTGAGAGGAAGAAAGAGAGGAGAGAGATTGAGAGGAAGAGAGGGGAGAGAGATTGAGAGGAAAAGAGAGAGAAGGAGAGAGATTGAGAGGGAGGGGAGAGAGAAGGAGAGAGAATATCATGTCCTCTCTCCTGGTGTAGAGTTTTAGAGAAGATATAGCAGTTCCTAAGAGGTTGGGTGCTGTTACTGGTCGGCCATCGCAGGCTGCTAAGAAATAATGCTTTCCTTGCATGATTCTGTTTCTGTGTTGCAGACCGCAGTGAGTAGAAAACCTTCCTTCTGGAAACGGCCTTCCCTTTCCTAGACAATGTGCTGATCCACAGGCCATCAGCCAAAGGGTTCAGTTCCTGCATCAGAGCCGAGTCTTCCCCTTTGCCAATAAAGAATTTTTTTTGTGAAGACGAAAGAATGACTCAGTCCCCGGGACACCACGAGGATGGGACCTGTTCCTGCCACCCGTTTTCAGTGCAAAGTGTTCACCAGACTCTGGATGAGATGGATTTTGAGAGAGGTATGGAAACTCTGGGGAAAGATACACTTGTGAGCTTGCAGAGGCTCAAGATAAGGATTCCTTGTGGCAGTGAGTTCCAAAGGCAGGATTTTTCTTTTTTAAAAAAAATCAAAATACAAAGCAGCAGAACTCTTGTCACCTCAACACACTTTTTGTGGTGTTCTTCGAAGGGGTGTGTTTGCTTTACAAGAAAAAAAAATAAGAGTATGGTTTCTAAAATTCATACCAATCATTTTCATCATCAAACGATCCCATAATTCCTTGCAGGGTGGAGTCTGGGCAACTGAATGGAGCTAGCAGAGTGTTTAGTGGCCGGATGGCCCTTCCCTGTCGCCAATGAGGAGTTTTGATATATTCTCATTGTGCCCAGAGAGAGAAATATCGGCCTCTACCTAGGATCGAACTCACAGCCTCCTGATTGTGAGGCGATTCTAAAGTTCATACCAATAAGTACTGCAAATTGCTTGGAGAACGAAGCAGTGGGAAAAAAGTCACGTATTTATATTTTTAGGGGTTTTATTTTCCTTTTTATTTCCTTTTCTTTTTATTATTTATGAACTGGAGATTTTACTGAGCTCAAGAATTCATCGTTCTTTTTTTTTTTTTCTTCTTTAATATGAAAACAATCGTTTCTTGTTTGGTAATTTTTGTTCACATTATATGGAGCATGAGTTGTACAGTCAAGGGAATCACATTTCCATAAACAAGTGTTTTTGGAAACATACTGTATATCTGCTTTTTAAAAAAGGGAAACAGTTTTTAAACACCACTACTGGACAGTATGGGTTATTGGTGGGGGTTTTATTATTATTTTTTTATTATTAGTCATATTTCTATGCCGCCCACTCTCCGAGGACTCTGGGCAGCTTACACCAAAGACAGTATACTAAATAGCGTATTGCCCCCTAACAATCTGGGTCCTCATTTTATCCACCTCGGAAGGATGGAAGGCTGAGTCAACCTTGAGTCGGTGAGATTTGATCCGCTGATCTGCTGAACTAGCAGTCAGCTGAAGTAACTGCAGTACTGCACTCTAACCACTGCGCCACCTCGGCTCTTATCTTTTTTTGAGATAGTCAAAATTCTGCAATCTACTGTCTTTCCGTTTCTCCAGGTCCCTTCATTCTATCAAGGACTGAAACGAGAGGAGATAAAAACTCTTGTAGAGTTTGGATTTAATCCAAACTTTTTAGTCTGAAAAGGGAGTGGAGGTTGGAGATAGACTGGCTGAGCTGGGGGAGGAGTCAAACAGGGAATTAGTCTGGAATCCTTATGTGGGCACAAGAGAGCAAAATACAATCTCCTTTGAATGCCATTGAACCTTACCTAGTTGATCTGTCCCCGTACCCACACACACACAAACACAGCCAGCCGAGGGTTAAGGAAACACTTTGGAACGCACCCAGGTCTTATCTCCCACTTGGCAGCGATAGACACACCGTCTGCCAAATGCCTTTATTTTCACAAACAGAAAGATAAGGTACTTAGCGTACAAAAAGTCCAAGCAGAAATAATATTTCTCTCCGCAGTTCCGAACGAGGCTTTAGTGACTATCCAAGGTTTACTTTTGTTCGTCACAAGGATCACTGACCACCACCCTCTATTATATAGTCTCTGGGGTGTGGTCCAGTGACTCAGTTCTAATCCCTAGCACGCCTCCTAAGCTGCTGCAAACGTTTATCACGCCTTCGGAGGCGTGCGTCCAGGAATGATGTTTCTTCATCACTCTGATCCGAGCCAGCTGTCTCCCTACTGATCTCCTCTCCCTCGGCCGGCACCTGAGACAATGCCAGAGGGGAGGGGCCTGGAGAGGAAGGCCTGGCTGACTCCTCTTCCTCATGCTCGGAGCTTTCTTCCTCCGATGGGACAGGCTCAGAGATCGGGGCCACAACACTAGTCTCACCCAGGTGCAAATGGTCAGTCTGAGAAGATTCCTTCATAGGGACTTGAAAAATAAAACAGCTGATGGAATTCTTCACCTATGGATCTGGTTTTCCGTCCTACCTCGACAGCGGCTGAGAATTTGGGGAGCTGCAGTTCCAACATAGTCAGGGTTTCTGATTGGTGAAAGCTTGTAGCTAATTTTAAGGTGTTCCTTATTCTGAATCTCAGCAAAAGGATTGACCATGTTTAACTAAAAATAAAAAATTGTTTGCATAGGGATCTGGAATGCTGCGCTGAATGGAGATCTGGAAGGGGTCAAGAAACACATCCTGAGCCGTGGGAAACCTAATGAGCCAGATCCTTTTGGATACACAGCTTTGGTGAGTGCATTAAAGAGCAGGTAGGATAATACAATGATAGCATAAAGGTAACGGTAAAGGTTCCCCTTGCACATATGTGCTAGTCGTTCCCGACTCTAGGGGGCGGTGCTCATCTCCGTTTCAAAACCGAAGAGCCAACGCTGTCCGAAGACGTCTCCATGGCCATGTGGCCGGCATGCCTCAACGCCAAAGGTGCACGGAACGCTGTTCCCTTCTCACCAAAGGTGGTCCCTATTTTTCTATTTGCATTTTTTACCTGCTTTCGAACTGCTAGGTTGGCAGAAGCTGGGACAAGTAACGGGAGCTCACCCCATTACGCGGCACTAGGGATTCGAACCGCTGAACTGCCAACCTTTCGATCAACAAGCTCAGCATCTTAGCCACTGAGCCACTGTGTCCCTTGGATATACCATAGAACTAGACAAATGGCAAAAACTTTGGGGAAGAAACTATAAGCTGACAATGGCAACTGCCTATAAGGACAACCTGTACAAAATGTTTTACAGGTGGCACTTACCACCTGCAAGACCAGCAAAGATGTTTTAAAACATGTCTGCCAAATGTTGGAAATGTAATCAGACACCGGGCACGTACTGTCATATGTAGTGGACATGTGTGAAAGCAAAGAAATATTGGTTAAAAATACATACACGGCTAGGAAAAATGTTAAAGCTGCGGATAGATTATAAGACAGAAATACATTTGTGAGCTATAGTACCAGAAAAAAAACAATAAGGGGAATTTGTATTTAATATTGCATGTTTTGACAGCAGCAAGGATTGTATTTGTACAGTACTGGAAAAATAAGGAAACGCCAAGAGAAGGAGATGTAATTTTAAAAACATTAGATCGCGCAGAAATGGATAGACTGACATTACAGATAAAAGTAAAGGAAGATACAGAGCATTTTCCATTATGGGATTTGTTTTATAAATGGTTGGATAATAGAGGTAGAAATTAAGAGCTTGAAAAACATTATTATGTAAGCAATCCATCCAGACAACTACACTATTCATAAAGCACTTATGTATGTTAAATGAAAATGTATAAATAAACTATTTTAAAAAAAGAGCAGGTAGGACAATGAAGAGACGCCTCAAAATTTCAGAATGAGGTAGCAATAGCAATACCACTTAAGACTTATATACCGCTTCACAGTGCTTTACAGCTCTCTCTAAGCGGTTTACAGGATCAGCCTATGACCCCCAACAATTTGAGTCCTCATTTTACCCACCTCGGAAGGATGGAAGGCTGAGTCAACCTTAAGCCGGACAGAATCGAACTCCAGACAGTGGGCAAAGTTAGCCTGAAATACTGCATTCTAACCACTGAGGCCCCTCGCACATGCACGGCAGAGACCCGAAGACCAGCTGGCCGGCAGGAGGCACGCACACATGCACGGCCGACCTGAACTGGGGCAACAGCTCGCATGCCCACAGAGAGGGCACTGCGTGCCACCTCTGGCACATCTGCCGTAGGTTTGCCATCACGGAGTTATAAGGTCCAGGGATGACTTTAAGGGCAGAAGCTTTGGTGGCAAAATCAGATCTTTGGGGATGGATTTTTCTTCGTTGGCTCTAGTTTCTCAGATGCTTTTCAAGGTGCATGATTGAGATTTGGGTTCCATATCAGAGTTAACAGTTCAGGCAAGTTAAAGCCATGTTGATTGCATTCACACAACAGGCTGAGCTTCATTTCTTTTCAGCCTCAGAGTCTTTGTTAGGGGTTGTGTAAACCCAGCTTAGAGGGACGCGGTGGCTGAGGGGCTAAGACGCTGAGCTTGTCGATCGAAAGGTCGGCAGTTCGGCGGTTCGAATCCCGAGCGCCGCGTAACGGGGTGAGTCCCCGTGACTTGTCCCAGCTTCGAAAGCAGGTAAAAAATGCAAGTAGAAAAATAGGGACCACCTTTGGTGGGAAGGGAACAGCGTTCCGTGCGCCTTTGGCGTTGAGTCATGCCGGCCACATGACCACGGAGACGTCTTCGGACAGCGCTGGCTCTTCGGCTTTGAAACGGAGATGAGCACCGCCCCCTAGAGTCGGGAACGACTAGCACATATGCGCGAGGGGAACCTTCACCTTTAAACCCAGCTTAATTTGATTAGATGGTGGTTTGATTCGTTTATGACACAACGGATTGCGGGTAACTCCAGAAAACAGGTTTGTTCGTAATCAAGGTTACAGTGACTAAGAGCATATTATATATGAATTCTCAACTGCCATGCATGCCATCCGCTTAGATTGGAAGTTGAGGTGCCACAAAGGCCCAGACGTGTACGTTTTTCAGAGAGTCCCCTTTTCTCCTTTCCACAGCACTATGCCAGTCGCAACGGGCATTATGACATCTGCCTTTTCCTCCTGGGCCACGGAGCTTCCTGCAATGTCCGCACCCATGGCGGGGCCAGCCCCCTGCATCGAGCGGCTTACTGCGGTCACACAGCAATAGCCAAGCTGCTGCTGGACCACGGAGCTGATCCAGCTGCCACGGACGACGATGGGAAGACGTCCCTCCATAAGGTATGTGTGCGTGCGTAGAACAGCCCCAGTGCCTCCCCCCACCCTTCTCTAGACAGATTGTTGGGGACAATATGGTGAAATTGTTAAATCACCCAGAAGCACTCTGAGGCAGTATAGAGCCAGGGTGGCATAGCGGTTAGAATTGTAGTATTGCAGACTAGCTCTGCCTACAGTCTAGAGTTCGATCCTGACAGGACTAGAGGTTGACTCAGCCTTCCATCCTTCCGAGGTGGGTAAAATGAGGACCCAGATTGTTGGGGGCAAGAGGCTGACTCTGTAAACCGCTTAGAGAGGGCTGTAAAAGCACCGTGAAGCGGTATATAAGTGCTATTGCCATTCCTCCTTCCTTCTTTCCTTCCTTCCTTCCTTCCTTCCTTCCATCCATCCATCCATCCATCCATCCATCCATCCATCCATCCATCCATCCATGGTAGCACACTGGTTAGAATGCAGTATTGCAGGCTGACTGCCCATAGTCTAGAGTTTGATCCTGACAGGACTAGAGGTTGACTCAGCCTTCCATCTTTCCGAGGTGGGTAAAATGAGGACCCAGATTGTTGGGGGCAAGAGGATGACTCTGTAAACCGCTTAGAAAGGGCTGTAAAACACAGTGAAGCAGTATATAAGTGCTATTGCTATTCCTCCTTCCTTCCTCCCTCCTTCTCTCTCCCTTGCCTCCCTCCCTCCCTCCTTCCATCCATCCATCCATGGTGGCACAGTGGTTAGAATGCAGTATTGCAGGCTGACTCTGTGCACAGTCTAGAGTTCGATCCTGACAGGATTCGAAGTTGACTCTGCCTTCCATCCTTACGAGGTTGGTAAAATGAGGACCCAGTTTGTTGGGGGGCAATATGGTGAGATTGTACGCCACTCAGAGAGTGCTGTAAAGCACTACGGAGAGGTATATAAGTCTAACTGCTATTGCTATCCTAGCAGTAGAGAATATTGGATGAGCCACTGATTTTGGCTTGGGCTAGTAGATTGTCCTCTGCCCCAATGGACGAGGAAGATAGGAAGATCCTTGTGTGTTTCACGAGATGAAGTCCTAGACTTTTGTTCCTGGCCTCCAGGCTGTGCTGGAAAAAAATAGTCAATCTTAATAATCTGGAGGTAGATTTACTCATAGTCTAGGATGGGACAAGGAAGCTTCCTCTATAACCCTTGGGGAATTGAGCTGGAGTCATATCTGAACAGGTTTGAGATCATATAGACCAGGGGTCTCCAAACTTGGCCAATTTAAGACTTGTGGACTTCCACAATTCCTCAGCTAGCCATGCTGGCTAGGGAGTTCTGGGAGTTGAAGTCCACAAGCCTTAAAAGTTCCAAGTTTGGAGACCCCTGACATAGACTAAGCTTTGGGTCGCCATTCCTATCACCCAGGACTCAATATGCAGTTGAATGTTGTTTGTAAGACAATTTGTCAACTCGTAAAGCATTCCAGGCCTGCCCTCGAGTTGCCATAGGCAGGAAGGGGGAGAACTGACGGAGCAGCTCAGCTGCCACGATCAGAAGCTCATTCCACGCATATCTTTTTCCAGATTGTTACCAGAGGTTACCAGAGCCAGCAGGAGAGGCGTGTTTTCTACAGCCCGCGAAAGTGCTCGGTTGGAGAATGTGATTTATGACACACCCAGGGAGGAGGGGAGAAACAGGGTCATAGTGGGGCTATAAATTACGTGAGACAGCGCTGACTCCACTTGGATAAATGCTGACATGTTGCTCCTAATAAATAACTGGATTTCTTTTGAAACTTGGCTCGAGGCTCATGAATTAATTAGGGCATCCATTGTCAGAACCCTGACACAATTCTTCCCTTGCTTCCTGCTTCCATCATCTTCCCCCACCACTAAACCACCTCCGTTGCTCAGTTGGTCAAGGGGACAGGCCATGGGATGGATCTTCTTTTGCTCCACCGTGATGTTTCTTCCCTCTTTCTCCAGGCGGCAGAGAATGGGCACCAGGGAATCTGCGAGCTCATCTTGGAGCAGCACCCTCAGCTGAGGCATATGCAGGACAAGAGCCAGAGACGTGCTGGTGACTTGGTTCCTGCCAAGAATGAAGGCTTGCGGAAGAAACTTTTAGACCTCTGATTTGTTCCTTGAAAAAGCTGCCTGTTCCTTAAGCCAAATGTCCATGTTTGCATCTTCTCTTCCGAAATTAGAAAGAAGCAGCTGAAACTGAATTCGATTTCTAAGTTTATCTAGTTGGGCTGTTTTTCAATGAGATGTTCTTCAGACGTGTGGAAACCACAGTGCTCAAAATTCTCCAACCCACATGCTGCCCCCACCCAGGGCTTCTCCAGAGCACTTGGTTGGTGTAAGGAAGATGTGAGATGTCCTCGGTCTGAAGTTTGGAGAAAGTTTCAGCCTGGCTTAACTTTAGGAGCCACAGAAAGCCAACGGATTGGGAAGACGTGCTAGGATCATGGTGGGCTCTGAAAGGTGTAGGGAATCTCGGTTTTTCTGGAAGCAGAAAGAACAGCTGCTTTGGTTTAGAAAGATGACATTTCTGTCTTGTCAAGGTTTAACAGATTTAACAGAGTTGGAAGGGACCTTGTAGGTCATGTAGTCCAACCCCCCGCCGAGCAGGAGACCCTTCATCATTCTTGACAGATAGCAGTCCAGTTTCTTCTTGGAAGCTTCCAGTGATGAAGCTCCCACAACTTCTGAAGGCAACTTCTGTTCCATGGGTTGATTGCTCTCACTGTCAGGAAACCCCTCCTTATTTCTAGGTTGAAAATCTCCTTGATCAGTTTCCATCCATTGTTCCTTGTCTGGCTTTCGGGTGCTTTGGAAAATAGCTCGACCCCCTTCCTCCTCTCTGTGGCAGCCCCTCAAATATTGGAAACCTGCTATCCTGTCTCCCCTGGTCCTTCTCTTCACTAGACTAGCCAGGCCCCGTTCCTGCAACCGTTCATCGTATGTTTTAGCCTCCAGTCCCCTCATCATCCTGGTTCCCTGCCATTGTGACCCTGATTCCATTTCCTTTTTGCTATTTTACATTTGCTATACAGGTAGCCCTCAACATACGACCCCCGTTGAGCCCAAAGTTTATGTTGCTAAGCAAGACATTGGTTAAGCGATTTTTTCCCCTCATTTTGCAACCTTTCTTGTCACCGTTGCTAAGTGAATCGCTGAGGCTGTTCAGTTAGTAACACGGTTGTTAAGTGAATCTGGCTTCCCCCCCCTCCTTGACTTGGCTTGTCAGAAAGTCTCAAAAAAGGGGATCACGTGACCCCGGGACACTGCCGCCGTCATAAATACGAGTCAGTTGCCAGTTGAATTTTGGTCACATGAACATGGGGAAGGTGTAACGGTCGTAATCTGGAAAACAGTCCTAAATCGCTTTTTTCAGTGCCGTTGTAACTTTGAACGGTCACTAAACACTCCCTGACAGATGGCTGCCTAGTCTTTGTTCGATCCCATCCCATGAAAAGGAAGCCCAGTTGCTTTTCTGGATCCTTGGCTCTGCTGTCCGTCTTCTCTTTAACAGTTTGGAAGCTCTCCCTAAGGGTTAGTTGGGCCTTGCCTCAGTGGTGGGTTCCTCCCGGTTCGGCCGAACCGGTAGCAGTGACAATATGACGTCACCGAACCGGTTCTCTTTGTTCAGGAGCTGGGCCCTCCTGCCACACACACACCCCCGCGTTATTCTTACCTTTTATTTGGCCCCACCCCCAATCTATTCGCTGCCTCCTGAGTCCAAGCTGATCGGCTAGAAGGAAAAAAACTGTTTAAACTCTTGCTGCGGGGCTTCAAAGGGCCGCCCTACAGCTGATCAGTGTTAAAAAGCAGTGTGGGGGTAGACTGGTGCCTTCTAAAACGAATGAGTAGACCGGTGCCTCCAAAAACAAATGAGTAGACCGGTGCCTCCGAAAACAAATGAGTAGACCGGGGCCTCCAAAAACAAATGAGTAGACCGGTGCCTCCAAAAACAAATGAGTAGACCGGGGCCTCCAAAAACAAATTGGTAGGCCGGGGCCTCCAAAAACAAATGGGTAGACCGGTACAGCTCTGCAAGCAGTTAAAAGCCTGATAGACCAGTACCTCTGCTAAATCCTAAAGAATTGTCACATGACCATCAAGCCACGCCCACAAAATAAGCCACGCCCACAGAACTGGTAGTAAAAAAAATTAGAACCCACCCCTGCCTTGCCTCCTTTCTGTCAAATCTGTAAATCAAGAACAGATCTTGATTTCCGGGGTTCCGATGAGGAATAGGTCACCGCGGATAGAGAGGCATTCCAGCTCATCTAATCCGGGGACAAACGAATTGCCCTCAGAAAGTCCCCGGCCAGCGTTACCACGTGCCAGAAGCCGTAACGAAAGGTTCTACTTCGTGTAGCTGCTCTTGCCTTCTGGCAGCTCTTCTCATACGTGCACTCGGAACAGGCTCCTCCTGTTCCTCTGCCTCTCTACTGTCAGCCTCTGGAGGCTCCGGAGTCCGCACATCACTCCCCGATCGCCTTGGCCCCATCTCTGCCTCCGACGCAGAGCCCTCATCCGGGCCTTCCCCAGCTTCCAGGACTGGCCCATGTTCTTCCTCAGCCTCATCGCTGTCTGACTCCGCTGCCAGCTCCTCAGGCTGCTGGCGAACCACCACAATTTATTTGGGACGCGATGGCTCAGTGGCTAAGATGCTGAGCTTGTCGATCGAAAGGTCGAAAGTTCAGCTGTTCGAGTGCCGCATAACAGGGTGAGCTCCCGTGACTTGTCCCAACTTCTGCCAACCTAGCAGTTCGAAAGCAGGTAAAAAATGCAAGTAGAAAAATAGGGACCACCTTTGGCGGGAAGGTGACAGCGTTCCGTGCGCCTTTGGCGTTGAGTCATGCCGGCCACATGACCACGGAGACGTCTTCGGACAGCGCTGGCTCTTCGGCTTTGAAACGGAGATGAGCACCGCCCCCTAGAGTCAGGAACGGCTAGCACATATGTGCGAGGGGAACTTTTACCTTTATTTACGGGCCCCATTTTCCACCAATGGTGATAGCCTTCAAATCCTTGGTTAGTAAGAGATGTAGCAGGCAAGGTTTTTTTAAAAAATTGCTTTTAATCAATGAGCTGGAAAAAAGGAAAAAGTTACCCGATGCAAAAAAAAAACGAGAAAAGACATGTAGAAATGGGACGGATGTAAAGCAACACGTTGTGTGGCCTTAAACAAGCACAACTTGGTCTGTGTGCCATCCTGAAACGCCTCTTCTAAAAGGATACCTGCCCTTTACACACAATGGATGCTTTTAAGGGTTTTTTTTTGTTTCCTCCCATGTGCAAATTCCTGCAGATGGCATTTGTTTTGTTATCCGAAGAAAAGAGTTTAATCATTTTCAAAGGGCTGACATTCTTAATTACAGCATTCAATCAAAGCATTCGATCGAAAAAACAGGGCATGTTTTAATCGCTCCCAAACCAAACTTGCTTCAGTTGGATACAGGTAGAAGTTCCTCCTGTGTTCTTTTTGTAGGCTCTTCTAAAGCAGCCTTCTCACCTGAGTGCCTTTTTCAGGAGGCGAGTGAGCTTTCTTGTTTTTTTTTTTCTTTTGAAGACGTTTCGCTTCTCATCCAAGAAGCTTCCTCAGCTCTGACTGGATGGTGGGGAATGGGAGGATTGATATTCCTTGCAGACAGCTGCGTCCTTTTAGAGGGTCGTTGAAGCACTTGGAGGTGGATCTGTGCCTTCAGGGTCCTTCTCAGTGGTGAAATCCAAATTTTTTTATTACCCGTTCTGTGGACGTGACTTGATGGGCGTGGCTTGGTGGGCATGGCAGGGGAAGGATACTGCAAAATCCCCATTCCCTCCCCACTCCTGGGGGAAGGATATTGCAAAATCTCCATTCCCACCCCACTCCAGGAGAAGGATACTGCAAAATCTCCATTCCCACCCCACTCCAGGGGAAGGATACTGCAAAATTCCCATTCTCTCCCCACTCCAGGGGGAAGAATACTACAAAATCCCCATTCCCTCCCCACTCCAGGGGAAGGATACTTCAAAATCCCCATTCTCTCCCCACTCCAGGGGGAAGGATACTGCAAAATCCCCATTCCCTCCCCACTCCAGCGGAAGGATACTGCAAAATCCCCATTCCCTCCCCACTCCAGGGGAAGGATACTTCAAAATCCCCATTCTCTCCCCACTCCAGCGGGAAGGATACTGCAAAATCCCCATTCTCTCCCCACTCCAGGGGGAAGGATACTGCAAAATCCCCATTCTCTCCCTACTCCAGGGGAAGAATATTCCAAAATCCCCATTCCCTCCTCACTCCAGTGGAAGGATACTGCAAAATCCCCATTCCCACCCCACTCGGGGGCCAGCCAGAGGTGGCATTTGCCGGTTCTCCGAACTACTCAAAATTTCCGCTACCGGTTCTCCAGAACCTGTTAGAACCTGCTGGATTTCACCCCTGGTGTAGGGTCTCCTGCTTGAGCGAGGGGTTGGACTAGATGACCTATAAGGTCCCTTCCAACTCTGTTCATCTATCTAATCTATCCTATGTAGAGCTTTGGTGATGAAACGGCAGTTGTTTATCCTATTTTAGGATGTCTTCTTTTTCTCTCCCCCCTTTCCTTTCCCAGCCCGGCCTGTAGCCATGTTGTTTCCTGGTGGTCTCCCTTCCAAGGACTACCCAGCTTCAGGCCTGCTTTGGGTTTTTTTTTCTGAGACAAGCCAAGGCTTCCTGTACTTGAATTCAGGAGCGCACATTCCCAGGCGGTGCCAGGAGCATCCCAAAATAAATCCAACATATCCCCTGTTTGGCTTTGCCTCCATTCATCAGCCTGTGCGATGGGGCTGCCAGTTGGAAAGCGAAGTAGGGCACAACGTTTAGCCATTGGCATCTCTCGCCTCGGAGAGCGACCGGTGAATACCCACCTCCTTCTTAGGGCAGGTATGGCACTCTGGCTCCCCGCAGTGGGTATACGTCACCAACCACGGGGCACCTGGCACTTACGGCGAAGGACCTTGGGAGAGGGAGGCCTTCTCCTTGTGCCTCTCTTCCCAGATCTTTGGAAGAAGCTCCGCTGGGGTTCAGCGGCCTTGTTTTCAAAACAGGATAGCTTCTATCCTTGAGAGTCAAGCGGTGAGGCTTGTTTTGAGCGGGAAGAGAAGGAGGGGAACGCCATGAGAGCGCGGGAGGATAGAATGTCGGCCTTGCGAGTCTATTTCTATCTGTAGCTGTAACACGAACTACCCGGCACAGTGACACAGAGTCCTGACTTTGGCATTGCTGTAATCCTTCGGGTAATTTTTCTCATCATGTAGGCACTTCCAACAGCAGAGCCAAGGGAGGCTCTGGAGTGGGGTGGGGTTGTGGGGGGAAACAGGAGGGATCCTGGCTAGAGTCCCACTCGATGCTTCAAATGTTATAAACTGCCGTTGATAAACACCGCGGCCTAATTGCATAACCGTGATCAAAGCCATATCTTGTTGTCGGCTGAAGAGGTTGCAGGAAAAAAAAATGCTTTTAGAAGCCTCTGACGATCCCAGCTGAGCCGCGCGATCATCAGAGGCTTTTTTTTTTTTTTAACTTTTAAAAGAATTTTTTCGGCCGAAGAGGTTGTAGAAAAAAATGCTTTTAAAAGAAAAGAAAAAAAAGCCTCTGATGTGGGCGGGGTAAGTGAGTGGCGACCGGTTCAGGGGCGTGGCCAGCCAATGTTATTACCGGTTCTCCGAACTACTACAAATTTGTACTACCGGTTCTTGTGAACCGGTGTGAACCGGAAACAACCCAGCACTGCTTGGAAGGGATGGAAAGCTAAGTCAACCTTGAGCTGGTCAGGATCGAATTTCCTGGCTGTGGGCAGAGTTAGCCTGCAATACAGCACTCTAACCACTGCACCAACACAGCTTCCTTCCTTCCTTCTTTCTCCTTGTTTTCCTTCCTTCCTTCCTTCCTTCCTTCCTTCCTTCCTTCCTTCCTTCCGTCCGTCCTTCCTTCCTCCCTCCCTCCCTCCTTCCTTCCTTCCGAAGCAATAGCACTTAGACTTATATACCGCTTCACAATGCTTTACAGCCCTCTCTAAGCGATTTACAGAGTCAGCCTCTTGCCCCCAACAATCTGGGTCCTCATTTTACCGACCTCGGGAGGATGGAAGGCTGAGTCAACCTTGAGCCTGGTGAGATTTGAACTGCCAAATTGCAGGCAGCTGGCAGTCAGCAGAAGTAGCCTGCAGTACTGCATTCTAATCATTGAGAGGGAGGGAGAGGGAAGGAAGGAAGGAAGGAAGGAAGGAAGGAAGGAAGGAAGGAAGGAAGGAAGGAAGGAAGGAAGGAATAGCATTTATATACCGCTTTCCAGCCCTCTCTAAGAAGTGTACAGAGTCAGCCTCTTGCCCCCAACAATCTGGGTCCTCATTTTACCCACCTTGGAAGGAGGGAAGGCTGAGTCAACCTTGAGCCCATCAGGATCGAACTGCTGCCGGTGGGCAGAGTCAGCCTGCAATACTGATTCTAACCACTGGGTGGGAGGGAGGGAGGGAGGGAGGAAGGAAGGAAGGAAGGAAGGAAGGAAGGAAGGAAGGAAGGAAGGAAGGAAGGAAGGAATAGCACTTAGACATATATACTGCTTTACAGTGCTTTACAGCCCTCTCTAAGCGATTTACAGAGTCAGCCTTTTGCCCCCAACAATCCGGGTCCTCATTTTACCGACCTCGGAAGAATGGAAGGCTGAGTCAACCTTGAGCCTGGTGAGATTTGAACTGCCAAATTGCAGGCAGCTGGCAGTCAGCAGAAGTAGCCTGCAGTACTGCATTCTAATCATTGAGAGGGAGGGAGAGGGAAGGAAGGAAGGAAGGAAGGAAGGAAGGAAGGAAGGAAGGAATAGCACTTATATACCGCTTTACAGCCCTCTCTAAGAAGTGTACAGAGTCAGCCTCTTGCCCCCAACAATCCGGGTCCTCATTTTACCCACCTCGGAAGGAGGGAAGGCTGAGTCAACCTCGAGCCTGGTGAGAATCGAACCGTGATCAACGCTTCTAAAATTCCTCCCCCTAAATTGACTATTAATTCTACTTCTATTAAGACGGAATACAACTCTCCGATTGTATTCCGTCAGAAAATTATTGTCGTGATACTTCAAACCACTCTTCCCACTTCTGGCCACGCAGGGAAAGTCCACCAGCTGTGATTCTTGGTCACCCTGTATCCAGTCAGCAAGGTGGAAATAATAATGACATTTTATAAATGGAGTTTTGTGGAAATGTCTGTGAAATGAGGCTTATTTCAATTTTTCTCCCCCCCCCCAAAAAAGGTCAACATTTGATTCTCAGTTTTGTCTTTGGAATTAAAACTCCCAAGTGACAAGAAACATTTTCCTAAAACGGGGTGAGTCACCCTCAGGTGCACGAGTCTGTATTTAATGCTCCTACAATCTCCATTACTCAACCATAAAGCTACAAATTGCTGTTAGCTAACGGTAGAAGCAGCCTATTATGAAAAATGTCAGATTTAAAGCCTGACTACTAACTAGCTTCAGGAAGCTGAATTTTGGTGCAGAGCTGCAGGGAATCCGGAAACCTTGAGTCTTCTTGACGTATTGGACTCCAACGTCTACCAGGGCCACTAACAAGGGACCGTGGAAGTCGTAGTCTTGACACGTTAGTTCAGGGGTCACCAACCTTTTGGACCTCAGGGATAAATTCATAATTTTAAATCCCGCGGACCACTCATACGATCTGCCTAATGACCGGATGGGTAGGCGTGGCTAGGTGGTCATGTGACTGGGTGGGCGTGGACAACTCGATGTCACTCAAGTCGAGGGGTGCCTTGCTGGCTTCTACTTGCCCCTCCCCTCCCAGCCAACCCTCGCCTCCCCACCCGGGCTCCTTAGGGCCCCAGGAGGAGGCAGTTGTTGGAGCTAAGCAGCCACCATGAGAAAGAGTTGGCAAAACAGTTCAGTTCAAATTGGATCTGACCGAAAAGGAGGCTCAGCAGAAGCACCTCACTGAGGACTAGGAGCATAGGCTTTCCAAGCAGAGGGAAGACCTGCGGGAGTGCAAGGCCAGGTACCGACGCCTGGAGGCTCAGTAGGCTGAGATGGTCAGCCAGTTCCAGGCCATGATGCAGTCCCACTGGAACAAGGCTCTCTGGCTCTTCGCCACCAGCGGCACTTCCCTCCAGCCTTCGCCCAAAACCCCCCACCAGGAGGCTGAAGCAGACCCCGAGTCGGAATTTCTGCCCCCCTCCGATCCGCACAAAAAGACCCCGAAGGGGGAGATTCTCTGCAGCAACACAAACATTCATTGCACGTATCTGTCCCAGGGGCCGTAGTTTGAGGACCCCTGATTTAGTGCAGTATAAAAAATGCAAATAATTTTTCTGCGGACCACCAAAATTTTCTCATGGAAAACCAGTGGTCCACGGACCACCCGTTGGTGACCACTTCACCCATCCTCAGCCATAACTCTGCAACAATGCAGGGAAAGTCGTTCCACGAATGGCTTTTCCTGAAGGGCTACAGCCAGGGGTGAAATCCAGCAGGTGCCGACAGGTTCTGGAGAACCGGTGGTGGAAATTTTGAGCAGTTCAGAGAACCGGCAAAAACCATCTCTGGCTGGCCCCAGAGTGGGGTGGGAATGGAGATTTTATTATTTATTATTTATTTATTGGTTCGATTTATATGCCGCCCTTCTCCGGAGACTCAGGGCGGCTTACAATGCTTTAAGCAATAGCCTTCACACTTTTGTGTATACCTGCTTAGTAGGGCTTTCGGTCCCCCCTAAGCAGTGTTCTTTTTTATACAAAGTCAGCTTATTGCCCCCATAAACCGGGTCCTCATTTTACCTACCTCGGAAGGATGGAAGGCTGAGTCAACCTTGAGCCTGGTGAGATTCGAACTTGCAGTAATTGCAGGCAGCTGGCAGCTAAGTGCTACTTAACAGCGCTTTAGTCCACTGCTCCACCAAGGCTCTTTTGCAGTATCCTTCCCCTGCCACGCCCACCAAGCCGCACCACGCCCACCAAGCCACGCCCACAGAACCGGTAGTAAAAAAAAAATGTGGATTTCACCACTGACTACAGCCTTTTCTTTTGGGCTGATGGGAAAAGCCAATCCGGTTTCATCAAAACCTTGGGAAACTCAACAGCTGAACCGTTGAATTAATGTTCTGTACCCTCACTCCCCCGCCTCCTCCTCCCTCTGGATATGGGCACCCACTAGAGGCATTTAATGAAGTTATTTTAGCGGGCGTTACATGGCACTCCAGCAATCCAGTTGCTGGGCCCAAGTGGGTGCCAGAGGAGTTTTGGATGGCGGCCTAAATCCACCCACCCACCCGCAGGGCAGAATAAATGCAGCTGTCCAGGCAAGTCACTGGAGAGAGCATTGCGGCTCTGGAAGGGAGGATCATGGAGATACTCAGCATTCAGCAGTTGGTAAGACCGAGAAGAATTGTGTTGGGGTTGGTGGGGACTGCAGATAATAAGCCGTATGATGAACCATTGAGGGAATTTAGTATGTCTAGTCAAACGAACGGGACGCGGCGGCTCAGGGGCTAAGACGCTGAGCTTGTCGATCAGAAGGTCGGCAGTTCAGCGGTTCGAATCCCTAGCGCCGCGTAACGGAGTGAGCTCCCGTGACTTGTCCCAGCTTCTGCCAACTAGCAGTTCGAAAGCAGGTAAAAAATGCAAGTAGAAAAATAAGGACCACCTTTGGCGGGAAGGTGACAGCGTTCCGTGCGCCTTTGGCGTTGAGTCATGCCGGCCACATGACCACGGAGACGTCTTTGGACAGCGCTGGCTCTTTGGCTTTGAAACGGAGATGAGCACTGTCCCCTAGAGGCGGGAACGATTAGCACACATGTGCGAGGGGAACCTTTACCTTTAGTTTAACAAAGAGTAGGATTAGGGGCAGTGGTGCAATCCAAATTTTTTTAACTACCGGTTCTGTGGGCGTGGCAGGGAAAGGATACTGCAAAATCCCCATTCCCTCCCCACTGCTGGGGGAAGGATATTGCAAAATCTCCATTCCCACCCCAGTCTGGGGCCAGCCAGAGGTGGAATTTGCCGGTTCTCCAAACTGCTCAAAATTTCCGCTACCGGTTCTCCAGAACCTGTCAGAACCTGCTGGATTTCACCCCTGATTGGGTAATGGGATAGTTGAAGTGCTGTCACCGGGAACAAGGGATCAACCTAATTCTCCAAAGCACTTGAGGGCAGGAGAAGAAGTGATGGGTGGAAGGAAGCTCATTAACCAACCTTGAACGAAAGGAGAAATTTCCTGATAGTGAAAACGATAAATCAATGGAACAGAAGTTGCCTTCAGATGTTGTGGGTGCTTCATCACTGGAAGTCTTCGGGGGGGAAAAGATTGGACAGACATTTGTCCAAAAAGCAATAAAGTCTCCTGCCATGGACAGGGGTTGAGGATCTCGAAGGCCTCCAAAATCCTTTCCAACCCTATTATTCTAATCCAGTCCGAGGCAAGTTCTTTTGAGTTTGCTTTGAGTAAGCAAAGCAGGAATGAAGAGTGGCCCACTGGTAGATCAAATCATTAGAGCTGTTATGAAAGGAGGCTGCAGAGAACTGTGGGATGGATCTCTACTTTCCCCAGGCCAAAGTCTGTAGAGATTCTCCATCATCCAGGTCATGGTTCTCCCAAAGGTGCTTTCTCAGGAGGCCACTGGACTTGCTTGGATTTTTTCTCTTGAAGACGTTTCGCTTCTCATCCAAGAAGTTTCTTCAACTCTTGACTGGATGGTGGGGAATGGAAGGATTGATGCTCCTTGCAGACAGCTGGTCGATTGCATCCTTTTAGAGGGTCGTTGAGGCCACTTGGAGGTTTATCTGTGTCCTCAGGGACACCTGAGTAGTGCAAATGGTTCCTGTAGTCTGCAATTTTTTCCCTCTGGAAACCCATTCCTATTCCCATACCATTCAAAGGATGTTCATCTCAAATTGGATAGCTTAAAGTCTGTAGAGATTCTCAGTCATCCAGGTCTTGGTTGTCCCAAAGGTGCTTTTTCAGGAGGCCACTGGACTTTGTTTTTTTCTTTTGAAGACTTTTCGCTTCTCATCCAAGAAGCTTCTTCAGCTCTGACTGGCTGGTGGGGAATGGAAGGATTTATCTTCCTTGCAGACAGCTGGGACTCCAGGCTGATTCCTCTCTTGACTCAGTCCCCAGCCTCTGCCTCTCCTTCTCCTTCCACAACCCTCCCGCTTTAATAAATTTTAATAAGATGAGAGCTGGAAGTTGCAAGTAAGTTGGACAGCGAAGGGATCCAACCTTGGCAACTTTAAGACTTGGGGATGTCAACTCCCATGGCTGGTGAATTCTGGGAGTTATTATTATTATTATTATTATTATTATTATTATTATTATTATTATTAATTTTATTTCTATACCACCCTTCTCCCGAAGGACTCAGGGCGGTGTACAGCTTAATTAAAAACACAAAGACACTACTATCTACTATCTGGAACGAGCTCCCCCCGGAGATACGGAGGATCCCAGATCTGCGCACCTTCCGCCGCGCTTTTTTATTTCACCAGGCGGGCCTGGCCTAATTTTTCTCCCTCTTTTATAAAAGATTTTTAATTTTTAATAAAATTTTTTAGTATTTTATATACTCAAATTTTAAAATTGGTTTTAAATTGATTGGGGTTTTAATTTGTCTGGGCCAAAACTATTTAATTTGATTTTAATTCCACTTTTAAATTTTGTATGTATGTATTTTATTGTTTGGCTGTGCACCGCCCTGAGTCCTTCGGGAGTAGGGCGGTATACAAATCAAATCAAATAAATAAATAAATAAAGACAGACAGACAAAATTTAAAAATTATTAAAATTATTAAATAATAGGCCCAATTTAAAAAACCCAAATTTAAAATCCCATTTAAAACCAATTAAAATCTTTACACTGATAGCCCAGCCTGGCGGAACAACAGGGTTTTGAGGGCACAGCGAAATACACGGAGATCAGAGATTTTACGAATTTCTGGGGGCAGCTCATTCCAAAGGGCACAGGAGTTGAAGTGCACAGGTCATAAACTTGTCAAGGTTAAACACCTTGATTTAAAGCCTTAGTACACTTTTAAAAGGGCCAAAAGTGCCAAGCCCAAGGACTCAGCCCACCCTCCCCAGTCAGGCCCAGGGCTAAAGCCCATCATCCCCAGCCGAGCCCAAGCCAGCATATCTGGAACCTCCGTCCTCTGCCCACAACGTTGTGTTGTGTTTGGAGTCCGGTGGCCTCCTGAAAAAAAGCAACTCGGGGAACCCCCAGGTCAGTTCATACTTCTGTTTTTGCATCACGTTCATAGGGAATTCGATTAATTCGAGCCTTGATAGTACAGTGGTCTAAGCACCCTGTTATTAACACAGCTGCCTGCAATTACTGCTGGTTCGAATCTCGCCAAGGCTCAAGGTCGACTCAGCCTTCCATCCTTTCTAAGGTAGGTAAATTGAGGACCCAGTTTGTGGGGGCAATAAGCGGACTTTGTATAAAATATACAAAAGGATGAAGGCTATTGCTTAGCGCATTGTAAACCGCCCTGAGTCTCCGGAGAAGGCGGCATATAAATCAAATTAAAAAAAAATAAAAATTCGAACTGTGGCTCCAGCCCAGGCATCTCCCCCTGCCTGCCCCCCCGCCCCTCGCCCATCGGTTGAATGTGATCTGTAAAGCCAGCCTGGTTTGGTTCCATGTATTGTATGAACCCAGAAAATGGGTTCATGAGAAAGCTGGTGAAATATGTTATGGGAAAGAATGCCGGCGGACTCGGCTCGAATTTCGTTTTTGTTTTCAAGCACAGATCTTTTTTTTTTTTAAACAAGATTGCCTCTCACTCACATAGAAACCTCTGTGTTTCTCCCTGTGCCAATTTAGCTGATGCGTGCATGGGCTAAATTCTTGCATAGTGAGGCCGCAACGCCGACGTGCGTGAGGAATGTACCAGAAAGTGGGTCATTTCAGTAAACTGGATCAAATCTCAGCCATGGGCCAGGAGGGGAGCAGAATTCCTCCCCAAAACTTCAAAGGCTTTTTTTTCCTCAGGGGGAAATTCAGAATAAAATCACAAATACACAGCGCTGTGCAAGCCATCGGCATTCAGGCTGACAAAGGGCATACTTGGGGAAACGTACGGATTGAAATTCAGAATCCCTTTTTAAAGCTTTCTGTTTAACCTTATCAACGGGCAGCTCTCCTGCACGCCGAGCTGAGATCTGCATAAAATGTGGGGGATTTCAACTTGCGCTGTGATGGATCCATTTTCTAGCTGGTTAATGAATCACATTTAATTTTTTTTTTTTTTTTTTTTGCCAGTAGCAAGCGACGAATAACCGTGATGAATAATGTATGTTAAATGTTCAGTGAAATATAATCATATATTCATCACCGGTGCGGCGTGCCTTCTCAAACTTTTGGCAAAGATCAATATTGTAATAGTTAAGATCTGGCTGTCAGGTTGGCCTAGTAGAAGGGGTAAAATCCAGCAGGTTCTGGAGAACCGGTAGCGGAAATTTTGAGTGGTTCGGAGAACCAGCAAATACCACCTCTGATTGGCCCCAGAGTGGGGTGGGAATGGGGATTTTGCCATATCCTTCCTCCAGGAGTGGGGTGGGAATGGGGATTTTGCCGTATTCTTCCCCCAGGAGTGGGGTGGGAATGGGGATTTTGCAGTATCCTTCCCCTGGAGTGGGGAGGGAATGGGGATTTTGCAGTATCCTTTCCCTGGAGTCGGGTGGGAATGGAGATTTTGCAGTATCCTTCCCCTGGAGTCGGGTGGGAATGGGGATTTTGCAGTATCCTTCCCCTGCCATGCCCACCAAGCCACGCCCACAGAACCAGTCATTAAAAAAAAAATTAAATTTCACCACTGTCTAGTAGTAGTTGATTGGAGAGCTTTGGGTTGTCTGAATCCATCTCCCCAAATCAGATAGATGAGTTTGCGCAACTCTAAAGTAGGCTCCTATAGAATGGTGGCGTATGGTCCAGTGTTTGTGAGAACATTTGTCCGTTGATTCAGGCCGTTGTGTGAAACAGCCAGAATACCGGTTGTTTGTTGGTTTGGACGTGACACACTCTGTGAATATCGATGGTTTTTTTATCCGGGATTTGGTGTTTCATGTGTCAATCAGAGGTGGTATTCAGCCGGTTCGGGTGGGCCCGCCCCCACCCACCACCCACCACCCACCACCCGCCCCCCGCCCAGGTTCAATGCCATCCTATATCGCTGTGTTTTTGACGTTGCATGCATGTACGGATGGCACGTGCGAGCGAATCACTGTGTTTTGTGATGCCACAAAATACGCGGATGGCGCACGAGCGAGCGAAGCGAGCGTCCATGCACGCACCCTCTCATTTCCGGTGCTGGGCGAACCGGTAGTAACAGTATGTGAATCCCACTTCTGGTGTCAATGTGAACCCATCCTCCAT